AAAAAAAAGCCCCTTCAAACCCATCGGCCAATATTTTTTTTTTTTTTTTTTTTGCCTAAGTCAATAATTTTAAAAAATCCCAAATATCAGCAGATTTATCACCTCGGGAGATCTCGGTAATGTCAAAATAAAAATCCTGTACACTGTCAAAATAAAAGTCCGCTTCCAACACATTGGCGAAACACTTTTTTGCTGATGCCGATCATTTAAAAATCTCAAATATCAGCCAATATATTTGCCCGGGAGATCAGTCGACCACTACTTTTACGACAATGAATTAGAGTGTAGCAACACTTTATGCAGAAACAGAAGTATTACAAAGCTAAATAAGCTAAAGAAATGAAATCGTTGTTTTAATGTTTTATTTACTATATTATACCCTTGTTGTCTGATTCCATTGCCGATTTGACATTGTTCAAATGTAATCTTGATCTACAGTTTGGACTACTTCTGTCTTTTTCCATTGAAGTGCCTATCAACGACATAGAAAACAGACACCCAAGGGCGCTACCAAGATGGCCGCCAAGTGCAATGGCATGCCTTCTAACTGGAAGGACAAGCTCTTTAACAAATCTTCAGAACAAACTCTCTAATTGAGCCGTCTTTTTGTTCCCATTGAAAACCAAGCACTGGTTTGTGCATCTGACAACAGTTATTGATTTAACATCATTGAACTCTAAAGGCTCAATGAAGGTGAGGAGAATAAAAGTGGTGTGTTCCCCTAGAGCCGCTGGACCTCACTGATAGGACATCTAGCACAGCAGGGGCATCAATGATTAAGGCTCGTCAAATAAACATCTCGCTTATCTTGTTTTTGCCATTGATTCTGTCGGCCTCTTCTGTCGACCAGAGCTACTGGTCCCAAAGGCAGCCTACAGACATTTGTGTGTGCTTGTGTACCTTTCAAATTACAAATTGTCATCCACTAGGTTTCCATAAGCTTTTTTAATATTATTTTATGTATGGTTTTAGTAAATGTATCTATTTATTGATAATTTATTGGTTTTATCATACTGCATTTGCACCATTTTTTACAGCGATAAACCAGTCAAGACAATAATTTTACCACAGTTACCTCTTACCTTTACTGCGATGCACAGCTTCTCGTGGCTTGCTGCTTTAAACTAGAATACAGGCATTATAATGACCGAGTTGTGGAACTGTTGTGTGTAACAAACAGTAGCTGCATTCCTAAACAGTCGGGATGTCTCCCAGCGTTCCTGGAGAAGGGTGAGACAGGCGCGTGGCGTTCCCCTCCTCCTCCTGCAGCCTAGTGAGCCACAGCACTTCATAGCTCATTAGTGCTGAACAGATGCTGGGGAGAAAGTTGGCACGCAATCAGCCCTTTCTTCATATTGCACTGATCTGTGAGAGATAGCTCGCGACTGAGGAATGCCTCACGCTGACAGTTGGCAGATGAAGTTAATCAAAATGGATTAAAAAAAGAATAAAGGAGCGGCAACAAATCTGACATCCTTGATAGGGTATAATAATGAAATAAATTATCATATTCTGACAGCACAATGTTAGCGCCGACAACCACGAATAACAGCCTCCAAATAAATAATTGAAGTATTATGAACAATGAGTGCAAGAGAAATACTTTGACAGTTCACTGCTGCAAGAGCTGAGACTAGCAACAAAACTTAATTAGCAGTTACACCATATTGAAACAGAAACATAACATGTAGAAGCATATACAGTGGTCATAAACAGATTTGAACACTTAAGCTGCACTAAAAACATGCCAATATCATTGAAATGGATATCAAATTATCAATGTCTGCACACAAATGATGCTAGAGTGAACTAAATTCAATCTTCTTCATTTTTGCAGTGACTTATTTATAGTGGGTTATAGTGATTTATAGTGGATGTATGAAGTCAGTTCTCCTCTAGTTCACAGAAGAACCACAGGTGTGTGTGTGTGTGAAATAAACTTAAAAACATGCTCAAAAACAAATTTAAAAAGCTTCTTCTTTTTTTTACAATACAATAATATTTTAAAAGTTTTTATAGGGCTTTATTGTGCAATGATGATTGCCAGACTGTATATTATATATATTTAATATGATATATATATATATATATTACTTTTTTTTTTTTTTTGACAGATTTCAGAGACGCAGAGTGACACTAAAGACAAGACACTTTGTTAATTAAATCTAGAGCTTGGCAGTCATTAGACAAAGACATTCAAGCATAGAACGCAAAATCAAGTATTCGAGAGAGTTGTGTAATATATGCATATATTCTGGGTAACATTGTGTATGCATAAATTCACACACACCATAATTTCAAATTCTGTGAATAAGCCATTTGTTAAAAAAAAAAGTCCTCAGTACATCATCAGCCTCTTTTAGTACCTTTTTTCCTCAGAAGAAAAGTTACAAAAGCTGTCACCGGGGCAGTACCTTTTCAAAAGCTACACCTTTGCACCTTATTTATGTCTAAAGGCTGCAAATCAGTACTATAAATGTCCATATTAGTATCTAAAGTGTGCTTACGAGTACCTAAATGGTACATTCCTAAATGTACCTTTTGAAAGGTTACTGCCCCAGTGACAGCTTTTGTACCTTTTTTTCAACAGTGTGATGACCAACAGCAATTATTTGCTGTTTTAAAAATCCATAGACAGTAAACATGTCCTCAACATAACAATGAGTTACGTTTCAGTTTATGACAAAAACAGCTGGTAGACAACTATAGCAACTCGGACCATTCTTGCTGTCATTTACTGGGCAATCCCGCCTTGCACCGACCAACAATTTGGCCAAATTTACACGGCGATTGGTGATAAGAGGTTGAGATGAACAGCTGGTAGCAGCCTGTGCTGGAAATGCTGAGCTGATAGTACTGACAGCTACTCTCCCACCAAGACACCTTGGCCATCCAATCTCCCTTACTATCAAACTCTTATTACAATAAACCCCTAAACCCCGGCCGAGGGGGGAGGGACGCATGGGAAGGGAAAAAAAGATGACCCAAAATGCCCTTTTATCTCTCCATAAAGAGAGAGGCAGGTCCTTCAATGGGGCTAAAATAGTGGGAGAAGAGAAAATACATAATTTAACACCATATTATCGGAATATCCAGGCGAGCTAATAAAGAGAGTGCAGTCTGACTATTCCTTGTCTTATCATGCGAAGTGGAGGATGGGGGAGGGATTATCAGGCTGGAACAGACTGCCGGCCTGGAATTCTAATGGTAATAATGGGGTCTCTGATGGTATATCTTCCCCAGCTTATCAAGCCCATTATCTGCCCTTATCGCCACAGTCATCGGGGCAAATTAATGGAGCTCTTTCAGTGCTCTCGCTTTATCTGCCTCGCAGAGGGCACACCAGAGAATGGAATAGGCAAAATATGAAAATCCAGGGTGAATCGCCAGGGTTCAGATAACAGGGCAAACTCTGTTCAATTGGGAACAAAATGTAACCATAAAAAAACGAGAGAGGAGCATCTCTACCCACAACAACCTCTTTGTCCTTTGCTATGAAGCAGGTGGCTGGTAAAGCTGCGCTCTTTACAGGTGCTCTAGCCTACAGTCATTTCAAGAAGTCTCCGCTGTGTGCTAGTGTTTCAAATCACTCCAGAAATATGTGGGACATGTCTGCAGATTGAGATATCACTACAACTGCCTTCTGTATAATGCAGACCTTGAAAAGCAAAAAACAGACATGATGAGAGCTGATATGTCCGGACTGCTAAGCAAACCATTTCATCACTTGCAGAAACTCCAGCGCAATATGCCAAGACTGAAAATAAATAATAAGGTGTTTTGGAGAGCTGTCCTTGTGCTACATTTCAATAAAACTTGAAATTTAACACAGTGTGGACCAAAGCACTTCTCTGTAGTTGAGATGAGATGCATGAACAGATACTTGTTTGCATTATTCAAAAAAAAAAAAAAAAGTGTAGTAGCCTAGTTTTACTATTTTTACAGGTTAAATATCATTTTTATGTCATTAGACATTTTACATTTCTAGCATTAATTTGGACAGTTCTGGATTTTAAAAAAAGTAATTGTAGTTAATTAGTTCTTTAAAAAGTCTATGTTTCTTAGTTTATTCAAAGCACTGCATTAAAAAAACCATAATGCGCATGCTTCTACTTCACAAATTGCATGCAGCCATTCAAACAAATCAAGAGTTTCCAACTTTCCAAAGATCTCAATTCTGTCATTTCTATTTTATAAAAATAAAATAAAAATAACAATTAATCACAATTCTGATAAACGCATCAAACTATAAAAGATAAACGAGCCCTTTGAATTTTCTGATCCACAATCGATATAAAATCTTTAAATGAAACATCAGCTTCAGCTGAACCTTTAAAAACTATGAAACTAGAATAAAACAACCTGTCGTGTCGTCTGAAACAATGCATGAGTAAAATCCGCGTTGGCAAACTCACGTTTGAATTGCTTGGGGTTGCTCTGTTTCCTCCGGGACATTCCTGCTCCGCGCACTGGACTCGAGATTAAAAAACGATACCGCGATTCATCCAAACCCAGATAAACGCGCTGTCTGTAAGACTCGGGTGTGTTTGGGTGTCAGTCTGATTCCAGTCAGCGGTTGCTGGTCTGGTCGTGTAGAGGGTTAAGTTGTGCTGTGATCCGGGCGCACACTGACAGCGCAGATGAGCGCGTCTTGAGCTTTTGTTGCAGGAGGACTGAGCGCAGCGGTGCGCCGTAGAGCTGCAGCAGCGCTCACACACTCCACACTGTCCACACACATTCACTGCACTCTAGTATTCACTAGCTGTTTTCTCTGTCCCCTCGGGATGTCCAGCTACGGTGAAATATATGTAACTTTCCGGATTAGTAGGAGTTGGCTTGTGAACGAATGCAGTCTTGCCCTCTTAATTACAACCAGTGTTTATTGTTTTGTTTATCATAGTAGCTGGAAATATTAAATAGAGAACAACACAATGTAAAAGTTTCAATTAAACGGATTTAAGCTGTCTCAATACTGAGGCTGTGTGCAAAATTGCATACGTCCATACTATGCATACTTTTTTTTTTGCAGTGTATACAGCATTTGCATGGTGTGGTCCTCTGAGTCCACACTTGATTTACTGCCAAAGACTGCTGTCATAGACTCATCTGTGGGGTCCTGCAAAGCTTATTTGTTGCAGGACAGGAAAACTGGGATTTGTGCAACCCTATAACCTACTGTAAAAAATGACCGTGAGTTTAACGGTAAAAGACTGTAAAAATGCTACAGTAAAAACCTGTTGAATGGTTAACGGTAAATTCCTCCACTATATACGGTGAAAAACTCTATTGGACATTACATGTACTGGACATTAATTTTACGGTAGTATACCGTTTTTGGAAGTGAAAAATACCGTATAATTTACAGTGAATAACCGTAAATTGACATTCCCAGAATTCCCTGCGTTACATTTCAAATTTGATGATTTTTTTTGTTGAAATAACTATGTTTCTTCTTAGATTTTTCTTATCAGTTTTGTATATTAGGGTTGTGTGTTACACCTAATGTTGTTAAATGAATGTTTATTGCATTATTTCAGTTTCATGTGTGTCACCATGATGGTGTTTAGTGTTTGTGTGAATGACGCTCTGCACCTTCTATATATGTTATTATTTAAAAGCTGCTTGTGATTGGCTTTGGTTCATCACGTGACTTTCTCATCACCGCTTGCATTTGGTGGTTATCAGTGTAAAACAGTGCAAAACAGATTTCAGTACTTCAGTAGATTGGTATATTAACATTATATCAGTTAATGAAATTACGGTATTTAACTGTAAATTTAAGTTAAAACCATAAAAACCTAAAACGTTGCTGCCGTATTTTTTTACGGTAAAAGTCCGGCAACCACAGCTGCCGTTTTTTTACCGTAAATTTTAGGGAATTTTTTTTTCAGTGTGCAATCTACTCAATTTGACCTTTCTAGTGTGGGAATGAACAGCAACCATCACTTTTATCATGTCCTTGTTTATCAGATTACAAAGAAATACAACTATTTTACATCAAATATGAACATTTTTATTTCTGAGCTGATGGCTTGCTGAATTAAACATGCAATACTACTATATGAAATGTTGCACTTTGACCAAAATAGACTGTTTGCAGTGTTTACTGCACAGCATGCAATTAACAGTGTGCAAGTATTCCATTCTAAATGTATCACTAGTGAGCTGCCTCACTTGGACCTGATTTCGATGCATTCTGATTCAGAAAGGGTAAAAAAATTCAGCAATATCAATGAATGTGACTTCAGCTCGTATTAGCAGAGTAGCATTACTTTAAAGCATGTAACGTAGCAATTAGGCACATATTTTTTAAGAGCATCTTTGCCTTTTTACCAGGAAGGACAGTAAAGAACCGCAGGAAAAGGAAGAGAGGGAGAAAGGGGAATTGGAACAGGAACATGACAGAAGCCGGACTTAAACCTTTAAGCATGCCATAATCATGTGCCAACCACTGCGTCACTTCAATTGCAACATGCAACTTTGGCTTTAACCTTTGTATTCATTCAGATCCAAAACATGATGAGAACCCATGCTGCTGCTGCTCAGAAAATTATGTGCAATGACACTGAATTCATAATCATAAATGAAGAAACCTATTTCATTTGAATCTGTTTTGTTCACATGCTCATATGGTCTTATTTTTATATACATTTTTATATTTTTATATCAGTCTTTTTTTCACTATCCATAAATATCATGTGCCTTACACTCTCCAAAATCCTCCAATAGTGAGTTTTCACAGCAGTGCCATAGAATAACCATTTTTGGTTCCACAAAGAACCTTTCAGCCAACAGTTCTTAAAAGAATCTTCATTTATATATATATATATATATATATATATATTACGTGTCTTTAACTGCTACTTTCTCAGAAAAAAAAGGTACAAAATCTGTCACTTTGGTGGTACCTTTTTAAAAGGTACAAATAAGTACCATTAAGATACTTATACACTTTAGGTCAAATGTATACACTTAAGATACTTACATGCACCCTTTAGGGGTAAATGAGGTACAAATGTGTTTCTTTTGAAAGAGTACTATCCTAGTGACAGCTTTTGTACCTTTTTTTCTGAGAGTGGATGCACTTTTATATTCAAACACTTTTGCTGCTACTGAGGTGGGATGCGGTTAAGGTTAGGGACAGGTTTGGTGGTACGGTTAGGTTTAAGGGTGGGTTAAGGTGTAAGGGTAGAGACGACAGATGTAACTAACCACTATTATTACAATATCCGATGTAAAAACATTTATGTACAGTGCATTGTATCAAATTATTAATTCAAATGTAAGAACCGAGTTGATGACATTCAATAAAAAAATGGAACATTGTCCCACTATAAAAGAGCATTTTGTGTAATGGAAAGGTTCCATGGATGTTAAAAGTTCTTCATGGTACCATCAATGCCGATAAGGAACCCTTATTTTTAAGAGTGTATAGTGTTTTATATACACAGACACGCTGAATTCCTCCATAGCCAGAAGACACGTTTCTTAAAAACCAAATGGCAGAAAAGTGTGTCACCAAAACAGTCCCAGTCTTGTTTGTAATTGGATGCATTTTCAGGCTATAGATGCTGAGATTTAGCACGATGGGAATCATGTCTTCAATCTAAAGGATTTGCACCTCTCTTTTTGTGGGAGATATCAATAGAGAATTGAGTTCCATTGAGACGCGGGAGCGAGTGTGATAAAGGCGGGGGTGCGCCAGAGATGGATTAATTATGAGCGAGCATAGAAAGCAGGCTTATCATCACTTAGCACAGGAGACAGACTCACACGATCACAGAGCACGGATAAGACGGGAACAATGCGATGCTACCTTACAACCCATCGCCTTACTTTTTTATAATTAAAAACTAACATGCAATTATGTCGTATCTTGCTCAACCGAGAGGGCGATGTAAATAACTGTGCTGTAAAATTATGGCAGGGGAAAGACAGTCTATATAAAACACAGAGGACGGAATGACCTCTGTGAAACAGAAGATACAGAACGGGTGAAAGTGCATCACAGCCACTTAACTCCTAAATCTATAGCTTCTTCAATACGCTCCTGTCAGCAAGCATCAGTCACTCTATAGATTGTTTCTGAGTTGCTATATTGTTCTTTAGAGGGTAAAAATTCATTTTTGTTATATTCTTCAGATCAAACCATTTCTGGATTATTTAAAGCACAAACACAAGTGTTTTTAAAGAACTAGAAACGTGTTCTTTGTATAACTGAAAACTGTTCTCTTCTGGTATCGGGCTTTAAAACTTTTACTTTGCAAACACATTTGCATTGTGTTTTGATAATATTTTTGTGCTAGTACACTTGATTAACTTTAAGTGTACTTGTTATTCAATATTACATTTAACGTTAATATATTTTAATCGTACTAAATTGCAACTTCATTACAAATAAGTGATATATTTAAACACATAACATACAAGTTTCGATAGAAATGACATTAAAGAATATTCTGATTTCTCATAAATGCTTGTCATTCAACAGTTCACTTTAACCATATTTCAGAAGTAATTATAAAATTACAAATCGTAAAGATGTGTTTAAGTCTTTATTAAATGGTACAAAAACTATTTCAGTTAACACACAATTACGTGTCCAAAGACAATACATCTATTCACAATTATGTGTATATTTATATAGTTATCTTTTTAAGTATACTTCATTTTCACTAGGGAAGGCCCTTCTGGAATGTCTTGCTCTCAATAAACTTCAAAAGACACTTCCCATTTTGCTTTATGTTCTAAATGAAAACTCTGGATGAGTTTGATCATCTAATCTTGTCAAATATAATGCAACAGCTGCATATTTCAGTGCTATGACAGTTCAGCTCCACCTTTATTTATAAAAAGGTATAACAAATTCATTATTAAGCAGTCCGAGGAGACTTTAACGTTTGAGTCGACTCTCAAACTGAAGCCCTCTATTTTCAACAGCAAGCCAGATCTGTTAACCTTCATTATATTCAGGGATTTATTAGCAGGTATGAACTTATACTTCCTTTGGGCTTCGTTTGCAAGGGTTGAAGTGCTTGAACTTGAACTCTTTGATGCATTGATTATTCAAAATGGTGTATTTTTAAGATTTTGAAAGACTAGAAATAGAGGTGTTTGGTGCATCACCACTTTCACTACAATATATGTTGTCCCCCCTAAAAAAAGACATATAAGGAGAACATACGGCTCAAAGTTAATCATTCATGATGGTTTGGATGTAACATCGCATCCTGAATGGTTAAAATGGCTCTTAACTATCCAACAAACAAATCTTTCTCGAGGAACTACAGAGGCAGGGATAGTTCTGACTTCTGTCATACGGTTTTGCCGCGTGCATCTCCATGCATTTTTGTCTATCTCTCTGAGAAGATTGACTCGAGCAGGCACAATTAAGGCATAATTCATCCAGTTACTTTATCTGGCTTGTCTGAAGCCCTCAACTCCTTGCACCTGCCTTCCATCACCTTCACATTTCTGAAGACCATTAAAAGGATATCTGATAGAATTATAGTGTGAAATGGGGTAGGGTGAAGCCTGCGTAATGGGTTTTGCATATGTTTTCGCCTCTGGCGTGAGATATATTTGAAGTTCATTTTTAGTTCATTTGATAAAATAAATTGGCAAAACATCATCCCCGCCAACCTTTTACCCACCTGTGTGCTATCCATAAAGATGCATCCATAAAAATGCATCTAAA